GTCTGATTGTGTCATTTCTTGTAATGGTATGTTTTTATTTTGTGTTTCCTGAAACTGCAAATTACAAAGCTATAAAACACAACATGAAAATTCTTCCAGTATTCAGAGTTCAAAAATTAAATACTAGCAGGGAGAGTTCTGGGAAAGATAGGCCTATACAAGAGGTAGTTTTTGTTACAAATAAGTTTGCCAATCTTTGAGAGGTGTAAATGTCAAAAACTTGAAATAATGCAGAAATTATAGTGCAACTGACACAGCTAATACGAGTTGATAATGATGTTAATGAATGTGATATTACTGCTACTTCCCATTATAAATGAGTACTCTTTGTCCAATCTTGTCTTTATTTTCAGAGGTAAATAGTGGAAATATCAATGCTTGAATCTCAGGTTTGTACATTTCTTTCTTTTACTTGTACAGGTTTTAGGACTGGTTCAAAATATGAGTGTTTTCCAGTGTCCCAAATGTAAGCATGAAACACACATTTTTGGAGCTGATGGTGTAAGAGATCTAGCAAAAACCCTTGGATTGGATGTTTTAGGTAAGGATATAGAAATTTTTTTTTTTTGAAGAAAAATTTAATGGCGTGCATAAGGGAAGCATTAACTGAAGTATGGAACTGCATAATCCTAGATTACTCTGTATTCAGGCAGTGTTCGGATATAATAGAACTAATAACTTAAACAGTTGAATGTCACAATTTTGATATGCTCTGTTCCTTGTCAGGATCATTCTTGTAAAAGAGATGGATGTGAAAATTTTTGAATTGCATCTTAAATCTCTTTTGATTTATAAACAATCCAGAACATGAATTCTTTTGATATCAATGTGCTATATTACCTGAAATTCATTATGTTGTTGATCGTACAATTTTGACAAATAACTGAGAATTCAATTTGCTTTTGTAAAACAGACCTAAACTCTGTTCATTAATGTCAATAGAAATTTTCTCATTTATTTCATTTAAACGAAATGAGTTGTTATGTATTGAAATAAATATGGTAATTTGAAATGAAGTCCCTGTAAGCAGTTGGTTTTATGCCCATGTGAAGATGTCTTGACTCTTGTATGGAAGCAAGCAGACCGTAATGATTTTATTTAAGTGTTGAGATTAAAAGAATATGCTGAATTGCAAAATGTTCTTTCAAAAGAAAGTTTATCTTTCTTGAAAATAAAAATTAACCATGATTAAACGATCTGGCATGCCTATAAGCTAATACATGCATTGATCTTTCAAATATATATTGCTATTTTAAAAAGACATATTTCAACCTGTGCTGTCGGTAAAAAAAATCTACAGAACATAACACAGCATAATTAAGTTGGTAAATGGGATAATTGCATGTGCTAATGATGTGTTTCCATGTATTACTATAATTATCTCCATGATTTTCCATAGCTAATTCATTAAAAAGAACCAGGAAGCTCACTTAGAAAGATCAACACAGAAACATCAAGGTCTGACATAAACTTAAGATAGCAGGGCAACACATAATTAAAGACATGCTTTTGGGCTATCTTTTAGTTTTCTAAATAGATAATGAGTTGTGATCAGAGCCCACGGGGACTTCTACAGCCCTGGGTTATGTGGATAGATGCAAATCCTCTGCAACCAGTTGAATCATGGATTTAGATACACAGGCACAGATGATATGCCATGCCATTGGTCCCATGGATGGTTTTTGCTACTCCCTAAGAGGGCAGAACTCATTGTGATTGTATTTATTAGAAGTGATGAGAGACATTTACAGGTTC